CAGCCGACCGGTACTGCTCTGGCAGCGCAGCTCCTCACGCAAAACCCTCAGCCCGCCGCCCTGCACTGACAACACAGCAGAGGTGCATCACGCAGTAACAGTACTGATGTCCCCCCCCACATGTCTAGTTCAAAATCTCCAAGGACCTACTTCTACAGGAGAGGAGCTATTTCATCCTTGATGCCTGCCACAGCTCTGACTAGAGACGGTGGAAATTAATCTCATCGCTGTTGCCCAATTTTCAACCTCACCAGCTCACTGTAATTCAATCCCTGCCAACTCCCAGTGGGTTGGAATGGCCCTGGCAGAGGAACGGTGCACGCACGAGAAGATTCTGGTATCAGAGACTAGAATAAAGCTTAATAATAATTTAAGAATAAACGTGTACAGCGTATTAGATCGTATATGAGCTAACAACAGACAAAGCTAAACTCTAGCTACCCATCTGCTTGCTATCTCTGGCAGTGTACAACTATCTATGAAATAATTTCATATTTCAACAAATAAAAAGGGAACTTTAGCATATAGTTGTGAGAATTCAATTATTACATTTGATTTTCTTGTCTTCGAAACTTGCCATCACTTTAATTTGTACCAACTGCAAAAAAAAAAACCCAAGCCCCCCAAAAATGCAACACTGCTATGAAGATGGTGCCAAAAGTGAACTCCAGGTTCCCACAGGCAAAGCCCTGACCTTACTGAAATAATCCCTTTAAAAGTAGCTCACTCACACTGCAATGGGTTGCAGTGGACAGTCCCACACATTCATCAAAAAGAAAAGCTCAGTTCTCCTTAGAGTTTATGACCTCTGCAAAGTTACTACTGATAGCAAACTGTAGTAAAAGCCTAGTAATCATTTCACTCAATTTTAAAAGCAATTTTTCTTAGGACACTGGAAAGTGCTAGCAAAAATTATTGTACAGTTTCAAAATATTTCAGTCACCACTACAATCCAAAGGGGTCCAAAATAAACAGGAATTGTATTTACCAAATTCTTTCTTAACAGCACTTACAGGTATCAGAAGTTGATTTTGTCTGTCCTAAATTCATTACACTGGGCTGACTAGGATATCATTTGACCCTACATAACAATGGAGTACTGTTATACAACCAAAAATTTTGGCTCAATTCACAGCTTAAACTTTGATAAAAAATTACAAAATAGACTGTTCTGTTGGTCTCTGTTCAACTTGAGAGCAGATTTTCTATGTTCCAGTGCTAGATGAATCCAAACACGTCCTGCCTATTCTGAGGTAATATACAATTTGGCAGGATCCTCTAAAAATAATTGCCTTAACAAATGTGGTTTAGAAAGGCAATATTGAAATATTAGATACAACTGAGGAAAGCAAAATTACATGCACACAGCACTTACCAGCAGTCTAGCCAGGCCAGGAAAACAACTGCGCAGTATATCAATTTAGTCATCTTTGAGACATTACCATTCCTTGTAACCCTGTATGTTTTTTAAAAAGACATGTTAGATATTGAAAGCATTGCTATCGCTTCTGTTTTCCTGAAACTTACTGCAAAAACAAATCTTCCTCTTTCAGTTAGAGCTTCTAAATGATCCCTATTTAACCCAACAAGCAGAAGGAACCACACTGAAGAGCATCAGTCATTCCTGTATGACCTCTGTATTACTTGCTTATGCTCTGCGCCTGGCAAGACTTCTGTATTTTCTTTTTTACGCTCATTCTTTGTGAGCATTACTAATTTAAATTCCTCTTCACATTCTAATCCACTACACAAAATATGCATCTACACAAGGCAATCAATTATACAGCCTAGCCTCACTAAAAATCTGCATTTTCCAAAGGAATAAATTCTGAATGATTGTTTAACTCATACATAAACTTAAGTCAGTTATACATAAATCATTCTGTAAATATAAAATGTAAACAGTTAAAATACTTTCTGTGAGGAGCAGCACCATTTTACATGACTATTTAGTAACTGTTCTATATATTTCAATATATCTTTTGTTTAAAAAGTGTATTGAAACCTAGAGCTTCAGTGCTGAAAACTACTGAATATTTATAACTTAAAATGAACCATTATTTAGATTTCTGCTACAGTGGTCTCATGGTGAAATGAAAGAGATAAATATTGATTTATACAGCACTACTTCTCCCTCCTTTGGATGGCATATATTGCTCAATGCATTAGCTACAGAAATCCTGAGGTTCTCCTACCACTTAATGGGTTTCCGCAATCAGTTACTTTTGGTGGAGAAAGAACAGCTGAAGTTTTGCCCCTATTGCATTCATGTCATTCCCTCTTCTACCCAAAAAGCACTCACCTTAGTAGACAAAACTAATAAGAAACAAACTCCCAAGAATCACATATTACATGAAAGTATAGCTACAGCATATTCACCTTCCCTGTTGGCAGCCTAGACATCCTGGATACATCTTGTTTTGTGTGTACAAAAACAGGCTACAAGCTAGAAGGAAACAGTTTATTTGCATTGCAATGTATTATTCATGAAGTATCCTCATGTTTTATGGTGATCACAAGATTTGGCATGCCACAACTCTGCAGAAAACATCACATTACTTTGTTAGGCTAGATGTTTCTGCAGCTTTGAAGATAGGCTTTGCTTTCTTAAGTTCGTTGAACCATTCAGATGAAGTTACTCTGTGAAGGATTGTATACTATTTCTCTAAAAAGAATTCACTAATTGTTGCTTTTGCTGAAGTATTATAGGCAAGTGGCCAAAATAAAAGAGGATTTTGTTCACTGTCAGCCTCACAGTAGTACGCTCAAAACTACAGCTGGCTGCATTGAAATCTCTTCCCCATCCTTCTGGACACAGACATATGACCAAGCATAAAACTTTGAAGGATATCATGAACAAAACATCTGGAATAAATTCTAATTAAAAAGTTGAAAACCTATGAAATCTTAAATAATTCATTATATGGTAATGACCACAACATTAATATGTGCTTTGATAAAACAAATCTTACAAAGTCAGTAAAAAAAGATCAGCAGCATAATAGTAAAGCAAATATGCAGATTTTAAAACCACAATAAAAATTATCAGGTTTAATATTTTACAGTTAATTACAGCAAAAAAATTGGCTGCTTTTAACACAACTTACAGTTTAAAATTACAGCACTTTATGATGAATTCTACGATTATTTTTGAAAAAACACTCAAAAATACCACCAAATTTTAAAGGTGCCCTATTAATGACTAAAAGGACCCCCCTCCCACCCCCCAAAAGACCAAGTAGTCATCTACAGCAACCCAGAGGTCCAGCTGAGGTTTCTAGACTGCTGTCTGTATCAGAGGCCAATGTTGGATCTGTTGACATTGAAGACACATCATTGACAGATGACGATGAAGATGGATGTTGAGAGCCATTGATCATTGCTGCACCTGTGCTATGAGAAACAAAACACCAAATCAGTTGCAGATACAGTTGCATGGTTCAGTACTTGCATTAGTCTGTCTCTTCCTAGTAGCCATTACTTTCCCCTGTTCTGTCGAGTTTGAAGGGTTATGTCTCAATCCACTGTCAAAGTAAATAAAACCCACAAGTCTAACACAGGGCTTAATGAATGGTATGCCAAGAACCACAGAACTCTCACAGCATCAGCATAATACCTGTCAAATTACAATAAAATGCTAATGGCTGAAGGTTAAAAATCACAAAGAGTGCTGCATAAAGCCAGAGCTAGGATATTATACTAAACGCTGAGACCCAAAGGTAGAATATATCTTCTTATTTAGACAGAAAAAGAAGGGGACTGTTGTTTTCCATCAGATCCTCCTCTTCAGGCTGGGAAATCACTGGTGTTCAGCCACACCGTTTACATTCAGTCTCAGATAGGCAGTGATTGTTCAGAGTCTGGACTTCAGTGAACTCTGAGCAGAGTCAGCAGTAGCTGTCCAACTCTTACCATCGTTTTTAAACAGTGTAAATGGAGTGCCGTGAGCAACAGTCAGTCGATGGCCATATTTTGCTCTAAAATTCAGCAACAGTTTCTGAAAGCGTTCCATAATTTTCCTTTCTGTTTTGAGGGAATATTCAAGGCAGACAATCTAGAAATCCTGTTTCATTACTTAATGGACGTAAGTAGTGGTTATGTCTTTATTTGAAACTGCACCAGCTACAGGTTATACATCTCACCAGATTATGGCGACAGAGGACCAGTACGTACCAAGATGTTTCTTGAGGACTGAAATGAATGAAGCATTACTTACATGGGGAGAACAGTAGAGGAATTTAATATTAATAATTAATACAGATTAATACAAAGAGGTGTCAACCCTATACATTCAGATAAGCAATATCTCACAGAGAATTCAAGAGGTTATTGGTCATTTAAGAGCCATATTTTTGAGTTAGGTTATTCTAGGATGTCTTGAACAGCTTTGCTGCCTCCTGACCTACAACTCAATGTGGTTTTATACTGTGCTTTTATTGTAACCAACCTAAAGGGGCTGGTTGTCCACGTATAACCCCATTCTTGGTTCTCTCTTCCAGGTCCATCACTTCCTTGTATATCAACTCTGAAAACACAGAGAAAGGAAGGCAAAAAATGAATTTGCAAACCCAAGACTGTATTGATAATACATCACCCATTAAAAAGTACATTTAAATTTCATAGGTTTATTGTTGTTCAGAATTGGTTTTGAACAACAGGCTGTAGGCTGCAGAACAACTGCCAAGTGATCTAATAATGTACAATTTTTTTCTGTTGGAACTACAATGGTCTGGCACTCTCAAGAACGCACTCACATTGCTCTATGACTCTCTTGTCCAGGCTGCGTAAGGTTAAACTAAGTCTTAATGACCATTCAGTTTCTAACAATGGCATCTTTGGTGCAGGTGAACTAGATCAGCAGCCTTCAGGAGAACAAGCCTGAACAGCACTGCCATCCTCCCAACACACATTCGCCACTAAACTTCCTCAGCAACATCATCTAAAGGTCCAAATCACCATAAAATGGAATATGATATTGGCATATAAGTAGTCACTCTAAAAGAAAGAAGCAGCTTTCTCTTCCAGTTACAGAATCTCCTCATCCTTAAACAGCTTAGAACTTTGTGGCATGAATCGTATGCCCTGTGTACCGGCCAGAAGGTTTCTAGCCTAATAGCAACTTATTACCAAGACCAGACTTCAGCTGTGAATCTACAGAAGTACCAAGAGAATAAAAGGACTAAACATGTTAAATGCAACTCATAGGAACTGTCAGAATACTACTTATTTGTCACTCGCAAACTTGTACAAACAGTTCGGAAGTAAAAAAAATGTTTAAGAATTATAATTTCAAGGGCTGTGGGTGTCTCAAAAGTAAACTCCTTATTGCTTGAAATACCCTCAGCACATCTGCTTCAAAACAGAAATAATGTTGCTTGGAAGGAGGATGGTAAGAGAACTTCTACAATTCTCCCTATCTCTGCCTTTACAATTAACACTCAGTGTCTAATAGAAAGCGACTTAAAAGTGAGGTAGCGCTAGATTTTACAACTTCTGTCCATTACCAGACAACACAATGAAACTGTCAAAAATGATTTGTGAAACATTTTCCCTGTGTTTTTCCCTCTGGAGATAAAAAGGCTATACAGGTCTAATGTCCCTTCGTAGACTTTTACAGTACAAAGTGTTAGATTGCTCAGTGCACTAAATTCTTGCTTAATTGCAACATTTATAGCCTGCACAGCTCTCTGGATATGCATTTTTTCTCGGCACTAGGACCTTTGCAGTAATACCAACCACACCTTTTAGAAGCAGTTTCAAAATGAAGCATAAGCTTTACAATTAAAAAAGATGTTACCCTTTTACTTTATCATTTTATACCTCATTTATGACCAACAAATATGGATACTAAACCAGTACTGAACGTTAAAAACATGCTGTTGCAGGTGTGAGTCATGTCATACTATAATCCATTCCACACATCAACCCCAGCTACTTTGTCAGGATCCCAGAGCTGATAACTATCAGTATCCCCCACACCAGCTGTAACCTCCCTCACCATCTCGGTCACGACTAACACGCCGTATGGTGGCTTCTTTCAAATCCTCTGAGTTAAAAGAGTACACTTATCGATAATATGCTCTTCACTTGACAACTAGTGCTTCTACTTCAGACTTGCATTGCTCGTGCTCCTGCATCTTTTTCAGCTGTAACAGTCTGTGCAAAGGATTTACACTCCCTAAAAACGCTGCTTTATGGTTTGCAAATGTAACTGAAACGGGCAGGTCTACAACTGAGTGAACTTAAGTTGACTGCACACGTTCAGCATCTTTACAGGAAAATTTTTAGTGGCTGAAAATCAAGAGGGTTTGATCACTGATCTACTCCCTTGCCATGCCAAGAAGTTTAAGCATATACTGTTAGGATGCTCAGAAGAACCTTAAGAACAGTAAACCTTTGGGCCCAGCCGATGTCCAGAATCCTTAGCATACTTTAAAATGTCCTCCTTACCTTTCCATTCTTCTATCGTGTGCTCCCTCTCATCTAACTGCTTATCTGGTATCTTTGGTGGGGGCTGAAAAACAAAACTAACTCATGATGAAGCAATAAAAAGGGATACAAAACCAGAATAAATGAAAAAAGAAAATAAAGCATTTAGAATATGAACCTGATTAAAAAACAGTGTACTTACACGGTCAAGTATTCTCTCATACTTGGCCTATTTTCTAGAAGCTGCTAGATGTTTTAAACCTCTTATAATTAACAGATTTGCTTATATTACTGTATTAATTAAAATAGAAACAGAACAGTCTGGTAAAAAAAGCTCCTAAATGCAGCAATCTCCAAAGCCAAGCAGCCCTTTTTACCTACTTACTGTTAATTACTAAATTTTCCCTCTAGCTATTACATATCAGCAGATTTCTAATTGCATCATTTATATCAAGCATCTTTTCCTGTTCTTAGTGGGCCATCACCAACTACCTTTCTCTTTAAAAAAATAACCTTTCTCATAAGCTTAAATTGTCCTGAAATTTTTTTTTTAAGAAGAATTTTCAAATAATCCCTTTGTTTGCTAGTGTCGATAATTGAAAGCTCTAGATCTTGTACTCAGATTTTGCTGAAACATTTCCTACTTAAAGAGTACTATCAATTGATACCACTAACAAAAATATTTCTCTTGCCCAGGAGTAAATATCTCAGAATCCTAACCAAGCGCAATCAAACCACACTGAACAACTTAAGCACAATAAATCACAACCCTATATAAAAGATTTCAGATGCATTACTAACTGTCCAGGAGATTATATGCCATTATACACAAACTCACACATGGAGATACAGGTACTTCAGCTACCTACAAATTTATGCCCATGCCTAATAGTACTAATAAACCTGTCAATTGTTACCAATAAAAATTATTACAGCTCAGTTAGGCTTCTAATGAAATGTGTAGATCATGTAATAATTTTCTTTCAAGCAGTTACATCAAGCATCACAGCAGGTTTGCTTTAGCACAGTAACTTCCTCATCAAAGACCTAAACCAAGAACTTACAGCTTCTGCTTCTGATGGGTCATACCAAACATTGATGTATGGGTGCTGCAGGGCTTCATCCACAGAGATTCTTTTAGAAGCGTCTATAACCAGCATTTTTGATAACAAATCCCTTGCTTGACTTGCTGCAAAAGTGAAATTTTCTATTTAGACTAGTGCCATATAGCACACATAATACAGTATTTCAAAGCTCCTAAGAAGGTGAGACCCAGAGTAAACAAATTCCAGTTTAATACCTATGCAACCCTCACATAATTTGGGGTTTAGGAAAGTGGTCTATTTGATGGGAAAAAAAACCTGAAGAGAATAACACAGTTGGGAAAGGCATTGGACATGTTTCACTATACATTTTCAGCATACAGTGCCCCTTGGTGTGACATCCTTCTGTGAAATATAACTCAGCTGTCAGTAAAGCCTTGCCTGGAATAGCAGTGGGCAAACACCTACTGCCCCTCTTACAGGTTATGTAGAAAACACTGTCACGCACTGTTCGACACAGAAAATATGGTGAGTCTGTGACTCCAATGAGTAGGTGACTTTTAGAACCAGTAAGTTACTGAAGTAACTACAGGGTATCTGTATATTATGAATATAAAACATTTCTTTTCATCCCTGGAGAACGAAGATCTGCCTGCCTACACAACTTGTATTCCACCCCCTCCCCACCCTTCTATAAATCACCCTGGCACTTGTCACTGAGAGGAATATATAGAGTTGCTTTTCTTTATAAAGGTATCTCCAGAATAGGAACTGTTTCAGAGAAGATGAGAAAGTGGAGGCAAGCATATGCCAGCATGTTCATCCACTCTCATGATACAAATACTGTAAAATTTAAATTCTTAGTGAGATGATTTTATAGTGAACAAAACTAAGATACATTTCTGTTCAATTTATCAGAGTTTTAAACATTTTAAGACATACAACATACAGAAGACAGACCTTACCTTTAAGCTTATTGTGTTCAGAGTCAGCTGGGAAAAGGACGTCTGGAAAGAGTTTTTCAAAACTATATCCAGCATATTTAGGTCTGTTCTCCACATAAGTTCGGACTGTAGGCTGTAATTTCTTCATAAATTCGGGGCATGGTGTTCCTAGCTGCTCTATAACTTTGTTCCATTGATCAATATCTAAGGTTACACAGCTAAGAAAAGCACTGTGTCTAATTTTCAGCTCGAAAGTTATGTTAAAATCACATGAAATAACCAGAGAGGAAACACAGAAAACTATATTAAAATAATCACTTTCATCATCATTAATTAGGACTACCTTATTGAAGAAAACAGTGAAACAAAGCAACACTATGATGGAGTAGTCAAGGCAACATGTATTTTACTCAAAATCATAATTAACTAGCAAAGGATATACTTCTGAGAAATATAGAAAATTAAGAGACTCACAAAATGTATGAAACAACTTTAAATAAAGGCATTGTTTAACTGATCTAACCATGTATTCACAGCAGTCAAGCTACTGCAAATCACCAAGGCACTTGTGTAGGTGCTTTGTCCTTCATTCTCATCTTGACTCCTCAGCCCAGTCCCGGACTCTCCCAAGTCAGGGATCTCTTACTAACGACATGCAACACTGTGCACCAGCGGGCACACAAAGGATGACATCTTGGCCCGCACAGGTCAACGACAATTTTGGCAAACACTTGAATGCAGAAGTTGAAGAGTTTCAAGGACGTGTAAGGACTGTCTTAACTGAAAAGTTTACACAAGTTTAAGGGGAGATTGACCAGTTCACAGCAGAAGAATTTAATACATGTTACTGAATAAAAAAAAAGGAGCATTTGGCTCAGGAATTCCTGGTTGCAGATGACCAGATGTTCAGAGAGAAATCAGGTAAAATGTCATATATGCTTATCTCATTCAAATACTCTCCCCATTATTTTCTTTTCCTTTACTGTCCAAGACTAAATACTGGGTTTCTCAAACCTTCAGTTGGGTGTATCAGGCCCTCTCTTATGTTCTTAAAACTTAAGAGCAGACCATCATATAAGGATTTTCAAGCTCTACAGAGGCTTGAAGAAGTATTCACATTGTACGGCACTGAGCCTAAACAGAAAAGCTGCTAGCAAACCTGCAAGACATGGTGCAGCTCATGCAATGACAGAGCCATGTGAAAGTAAGCGTGCCTCATTGTGCCTCAAAATCTTCACAGTTTTTACCCCTAAATGGTACAGTATCAATTATTAAACAGTTAACCTGCAGCAAAAGCAGGAAAGGTTTCTGATGGCATCAAAAAAAAAAAAAGGAACGTAACTCCTAGCAAAACAAGTGAGATTACAAACTCCAATTAGATATCCATTATAATTTTAGCAATGATCCAGAGGTTTCACCTCTTTTTGCTTAGAGCAGACCCTTTGTCTGAAATAGTGATCATAGGACAGCCCATTCAGATACCACCAAGCCATTCATGGATTAGAAAGACAGAAGTATTTCTGAAAGCTGTTTGCAGGATACTTTCTGCATACAAAAGTATAAAACTCAGAGTGTCACTAGTGAAGCTGATGCAGATTTTTTTGTAACCATTTCCTATAAAATGTAAGGAATAACAACTGATACCATTCTTGAGTACTGAACAAGATTAGTAAATTATTACATAAAATATGATGCCCAACCAAAAATCAATGCAAGTGAACCAGTAAAACACCACCCTAAACAAAACCCAAAAATCTATCTTAAATGTGACAACATCCAAAAGCAATGGAGAGACACTATATTACACTGGGGAAAGAAAAAGGAAAAAGGAGAAAGGAAAAATAAGCCTGTTTGCCCATCTCACTTATTAATCTCTGAAGACAGTCATACACAGGGGTTGTGGTTTTACTGTAAATGGTGTAACTGTTGACATGCTCGCAGCTTCCTGGAATCAAAATTATGAACTCACAAATGATATTTTGAAACCAGTATTTTAAAAATTAGAATCACCATAACCTGGAACTATATTGTTGCGGTATCTTTTGACCTTTTAGATCTACATCCTAGGCCAAAGGTAAGGATACGATCTGTACCAGGAAATAAAACACCACCTTTGATCATTTCTCCCATGATGCACCCAACTGACCAAATGTCAACTGAAAACAAAATGCAATGATATTAACATAAAAGATAGTTATTAAAATAAAGTAAATAAAAATATCTAGACACACACACATGAAGTGACTATAAAAAGCGTGTGTAATGAAAATGAGTGAAGGTGAATGATTGCTAACTACAGGACCAGCAGAGACTATGTCCTACTGCTAGGTGCAGCCTGAGAATAAATGAGGTTCTTAACAATTTTTTTCCAAGTGTATCACAAGAAAAATCCATGTTCATTTAATAAAAAAAAAAATTGTACAATACACATTTTCATGACACAACATCAATAAAAAGGTTAATCACTTCCTAACTAATTCAACCTGCTGCAGCAGCACAAGGATACAGTCCCTTCCTGGAAAGAGGATTTTGTGGCAAACCATTTCGCCCATAATGCACCCCACAGACCATAAATCCACTATGTTTGTAGCACAAAAAGAAGGAAAAGCAAAGCAAACGGTCATTTAAAATTAAAAGAAGCGTAACGTGACTGCATCCTATAAACTGCAGACAGCACAAGAAGAGCAAGTCTTTATATTAATCAATGAAAACACTTTAAAATGCACTGTAAATAAGGATTAGCTTTTATCTGTCTCAAATACAAGGCAGAAAAACATCCTTTTATTTAATATAGTGCTAGAGCAGAGAGAGAGAGACACACACATACGAATCAAGCAGAGCAAAGCCTTTCTCCAAACTCTAAGGCTTGCAAAGCTGCTTCTGCCAACAGACTAGATCGGAGCACCAAAGATAAAGTTATCTCCTGAAACTATATCCATTGTAGTTGTAGGAATAATTGTTAAAGTAGCAAAGTAAACTAACCTTTAAAAATACTGCATATTGAAGCAGTTTATACTTTTAGGAGGAGAATTAGTCGGTTACTACATAGGAATTAAAATTTGCCATGAAGTATTTCCTACAAGTCAGATTACCATGCGTATCTCTCTCCCTTTAAATAAAAAGCAAACACAATCAGTAAAAGATCACTTAGAATTTTAGAGGATCAATTAATGACAATATTAGTATGCTCCAAAAAGATTTTTGGTTAAAATTATTTGGTTAATAATATTTCTCCAGTTATGCTGAAATAACATCTTATACAAGAGAAAAACTCAAAAGCATTTTTTCGGTATGAAATACACATTTTCTACATTACCTTAAAATAAATCACTCAGAAGACATACTTAAAGATGCACAAGTTTACTTTTTATAGGTGTGCCAATTTTTTTTCTGGTTGCTTTCAGAGATACTGTTAACTCTGTATGCAAAAATTTTCTTTAGGTAATAATGAATTTGTATTATTATGAGTACTTTTATGTCAAACATGACACTGGGATTTCAATTAAGCAGATAAGAAGGGGATTTAAATGAGAACAATTGTATACTAAAAATCACATGATAAAGCTCTGAAGGAGCTGAACAATGACAAGCAAACAACATTGCTTCTTATTGAAAATCTTCCTTCCCACTTATTCACAAGTTCCTCTAAAATAGTATCTAAATCGTGGTAAGAGGTCACAGTTGTACATATTAATAGGTCAAAATTAAGGGCCTGGTTCATTTAAAAAAATCATTGCCTATAATTTATTAGTAGTGTTTTTTCTTCAAAAATCCTTTTCAAATACTTAAGAAAAGTACATGTTCCGTGGCTCAGAGACCCACCAATTTGAAGCCAAGTTGCATCTGACTTTCGACTTTTTCACCTGCAAAACAATCTTCCACCATCACAAAGCAAAATACACCCAACTCTACTGTAAATAGTTTGTGTCTGACATGATAAAACGATGCCCACAATTGCGTGGAGATGTGTGGGAAGAGAAAGAACATGAGTCAATGACCTATCATCATGCCTCAAAGGACAAATGACTTCAGAAGCGAAGAAAAGCATTAGAAAAAATTTCTCTGGTCACTGTACAAAATAAAGTTGTGATGTCTGGGGTCTTTTGGTTTGCTGCTGTCATTAATCAAGAAAATCCTATCTATCTACAGTCTAACTTTTTCATGAAGCTAGACTAACTTGTACAGAGAGGACTGCTCTGAATACCTCTATAGAAGACAGAGTCAAATCTTTTAACGGATTTTTCAAATCTGTAATAAGACCTACTGCTTGTCCTGTAGAGTGTATTTTATTCTTAAAAATCTTATTTGGAATGAACTTAATACTGTCTATAATTCTAACAGCAAAAAAATGTTAAAATGTTCAAACTCAGTGTACATACTAGGAATCTTAAAAGTAGTAGCTTGAGGAAGTTGGGGGCTTTCCTTGCTTTTCAATGCTTCCTTCCTGATAGTCATGCACATAACTGCACAGTTATCTAAATATGTTAAGGTACATGTACACAAACAGTTTTTGTCTCCTTCAGTTCTGAATTTCTAGAGTTTCAAGGTCTGGTTTCTTAATGTAACATACCCCAATGTGCTTTACCTCCTTCAGTATCAAAACATATGTAGAAATTAACTCTATCATCAGTTTGCCTAGGATCGTTGCTAGTTTTGAAACAACTAAAGATTTCAGATGTGCATAGTACCGTACCAAAAGAATACTACTCTGCAGTACATACATCTCGGTCATCAAAACATATTGCAATCCTCCCACATCTTGTTTGAAGGGGAAGTTCAGTAGGGCACTGAAACAGCATAAAGCTGCCAGATGACCCCCTGTTCAATTAAACTGAATGTTAATGGTTACCATTAATTAGCTGTCAAATTTCAGATTCTAACTCTAAGTTAAATAAGTTAACTTTTACTTTAACTGTGGGTTTAAAGGGCTAAAATAGGCATCATTGCTAACAGGTGGGGATCCTGGACAGCCCACGGTTCTTACTATAAGTACATCTCTACACCTGCCTCCTTGTCAGGGGAGCTCCACAATGATGAACTCACCAGGGAGTGACTGAGAAGAGTAACAGTTTATGTAAATAGTCTTTTAATGACAACAGTACATATGGAAATACGACATGTGCCGGGGAGGTTTAGATTGGGTGTTCGGAAAAATTTCCTCACGCAAAAGGTTGTCAGGCATTGGAACAGGCTGCCCAGGGAGGTGACTGAGTCACCATGCCTGTAGGTATTGGACGGGGTGCTGAAGGACATGGTTTAGTGGTGGTATTAGCAGTGTTACGATAATGATTGGACTTGATCTTAAAGATCTTTTCTAACCTAAAGATTCCATGACTCTGTAAGGCAGCTGCTTGACTCAGCCTACAGTTTAAGAGACACTAGGTAAAGGAACGTAAACCAGTCAATGTAAAGTCTTGGAAACAAAAGGAAAGACAAATAAATACATGCTTCCTGCAAAATGTTAGCAGTTAAAAAAAAATAACTTTAAGCTTGCTCCACTCAATCTCTGACTTATAAATTACGGGAAAAATAGCCAACCGTGGAGGCCATTTCATAGAATCATAGAAT